GCCTCCCCCATAGGCTTTTGAACTTTGAAAGAAAAATATCGAATGCCTCCATTGACAATAAAATTAATTCCTACCACTTTTCTATGTACTTTTCGGTAACATTTCAATTTTAGTTTCACTCAACAATGCCTTAATCAAAAAAAGGGAATCGTATACAAAAATATATTTCAGTAGTGGAGTTGTTTTCTTAAATAATTTTAAATAAACTATCCTCTTCAGATTTCTTGTTTCATAACGAAGCAAAGAGAAACTTTTAGTTGTACTGTACAGTACCACTCAAAATTTATCAATCAAACAAACTATACTGCTTAGGAAAATAGGCCTACTGGGTGGTTCAATGGTAATAGTGCTCGCCTAGTAATCAAAAATTCGCTCGTGCGATCCTGAGAGAAGTATCATTGACTAGACACATATAATCTGGTGAGATGGTCCTGAACTTCATCTATTTTCTTGGCTTCAAACTTTCATATCACATGGGAAGTCTATTCTGTCTATAGTCAATGAAAGTATGTAGCTTTTTGATGGTTCAACACTGGAACCAGCTGTCTGATTGACATAAATGGTCCTAGCCAGGGAAACAGCTGATCTTATTCAGTAAAAAAGCTACTGGCATCCCACTCCATTCTACACTCATGGTTTCAAAAACCCACCTAGGTGGCATCCCCATCTCAATTGATAATAATGATAATAATCACTCTGATGTTAGGTTTGTCTCGTTGCTAGTTAAAATGTTTTTTTATTTGAATAGACTTAATTATTTACCTATTACCCTAAATTTACCCTAAATGAACCTCCAGCATTTCCATCCTACATTGCAACCAGATAATTTTGAACATCAAGTCACATGTTTATACTGTTAATAATACTGTTCTATGAAATGGCGACCATACAAAGTAGGTATTTTAAGCCAAGTATGAATGGAGATGAGTGTAGGATGAGTGGCGCGATCTTGTAGTCTTGTTAGTGACTAAGGCCGACATTCCTTAGACACAGCTGTTAATTAATAGCCCATACAGCTAATGGCAACTAAGGGACCTACAGTTTATAGTGGAATCCGAACCACATTTTTGCCTTGGTAATTACGAATTGGTCTAATTATTAGGATAGTACTGCGGATAGTCGTTGTACTCACCCGTGCGGACGTTAATCCACACTGGGGAATATCGCATCCACAGTGCATTCCTATAAATATCCACAATTCGTAAAAAATTACGATCCACAATTCATGATACCATTTATAAGACCTAATACATCCCATTAAATCACCACCAAAAATCTCTGCATCTTTAGGCAAACCCGATAAATCTTACTAATTTGATTACTTCCACCTGATAAAGCTCGGTCCACTTAGCGGTCACCGCGCGTGTCGTCTGCAGTTTACGAGGGAACTGGACAACCGTAAACAAGTATACCCGCCAAAAGGACACCCAGCCCGCGAAAACTGCCCTGATTTGGCTGGGGACACTGACCTCGGCTTTGGTTACATTGACCTACACTCCTCAGGACTTATTAGCATAGAGTAGGTGTATGTAGGATGCAATGCGGTGTATTCCAAGTTTCTACCTGTTTGCAACTTGGTTGTCTTGACTTAATGCGTTGGATTGGTGTGAGTAAAGTTAGCACGTTTTTTTGACAATTTATATTTTATTACTCTAGGGAACATCAATTGTAAATGCAAATCACTATCTGAAATCAGTATCAGACTGTTAATGTATGCCTTTTCATGGCTCTCCCTATTGGATTCATTACATCGTCTTCATACTATGAGTGAATCAGGACTTTAATGTCTTAGCAGATAGTATTTAGTATTTATCTCTGAGAAGATATTTATTTCGGAAACCTATATTAAAATAGTAATTTAAATAAACCCTTTTAACTTGAAACACAATTCGATTATTGTGTAAAATTTACATATTCTAATTAAGTTCGAGGTATTTCTTAAAAGAAATTTTTTTAAAAACAATACATTAATTCCTTCTACAAAAATTTTCTAGCACCGGTTTTTACTAATTATATCAATGAAGTATGGTCCTGCAAGTCAGAGCTGAAATAATACTGATGACTGAAATTTTATTTCTATAAAATAAAGCTGAGACCCGGTGGATGAAATATAAACCAAATTACACTATTTCCCCCCCCAGTAAAAATCACAAAAACCCATGTCTGGATAGGTAAAATTGTGCTATGAGATATAGATTTGCCATTTATAAATCAATTTATAAACCAATTCAAATTCAACAGTGTCGTCACCTTTTTTGTATGTGAATCAATATAAAAAAATAACTACATGTAAATAACTAAATAAAAAAAAACTAAAAATAACTAAATTTGATTTCAAATCATTTTATTACAGTTTCCACTATTTAAATACTTTGACTGGTTGATGCTTTAGTCACTCATACACAGTCGTAGGATGAAGAAAGACAACAATGCATGGTCGAAGTTGGTCTCTGTGATTTTTAGTTTCTACTCCTTGTTCACATCAATTAATTCATCATTCTACTAATCAATTCTGAATTAAGACTCAATTAGTAAAGACTGCTTGTAGAGTGTTTGCATATCAGGATGACGAGAAAGCAACAAGAAGGCACGGGCTGCTTTGTTGATTGGCATCTGGTATCTTGAAACAGAAAGAGGTTAATTAATAATAATTTTTTTTATCTCGAGGAAAAATCAGACGAAACTTAGTCAGTTGTTACTAAATAAGTGAATCAAAAGTGTAAAAATTCGTACGAAATGTCTTTGATAAAAAATATAGATTTTATGAATTCTCTGAACTGAGAAGTTTGAGAATGGGATGCTGCTGAAACAGGTATGTTCCTATTGAAACTGCTTCAAAATATTTGAATTAAAGTTAATCAATCAATTTCGTAGTTTCGAGGCTACCCTAACGAATTTTAAGTTTTACACATATCTGGTGGGACCGCTGTCTTAAATCATAATTCACTCTTTCTTTGTCTTATCACTCCTATATAAACTCAAACTACATAAGATATACAAAGGTATCAATACACCTACAATTTCAACCAATGTTTTCCCAGAAAAAATAGATGAACAAATATTACATTAATTTTACGTTAGGTGTATTTTTTTAGGTTATTTCAAGGTGAGTTATTATCCTCTTGAATCTACGGAAATATATAACATTAATGAGTCTACTCCGCTACTGAGTCATCACTACACAAGGCACATTTTTTTCTGTGACAAATACTATCCCAACATTCAGCGTGTAATTCAATAAGCCTCAGAAATTTGAATTATTCACCCCCATGTGACTTGATCGTAAAGTCCCAGAGAGCTGAAGCCATACTGTGGTAGTTTTATGACTTTGTCCTCTTCAGCCATGTTCACCCTACAGTCCATCCCTTACCTTGTGGCGGAGGCCTGATGACTCTCCAGGAAGTACTCCATATCCTGGAGCACTTTGCCGGAAGGAGCTTCACTGACTGGAGCGAAGAACTGATCAAGGTATTCCAGCAAATCCTCTCTTGGTGCAGAGTGGGCGTGGGAACTGGAGTGGCTAGAACGAAATGGATGGAGTATGTAGGAAATGATATGACAAAAAGCATTTAATATATGTTTAGAATGTGACCTCACATACTGCCATAATTTGATGGTTAGGTCTGAAATGCGGTGCAGTTCTTAAACTCAGAAAATTCAGTTAGCAAGACAATTTCTTGTCACAATTCAATTCAATGATTTCTACAATTTCTACCCCTCATTAAAACTATTAATTCTTCATACTGCTATAACCACAGAGAAGTAAGTAAGTACATGATGTGGAGGGGGTGGTGTTGGACTTTATCATAGACACTAGCGCTAGAGCTAGACAGCACAAGTGTACCATTGAATGTTTCCTATGCACCTTACTTCTCTGTGCTATAGCTAATTGGCGAAAGTTTTCTCTTAATAGACTTGTAAAGTTTGCGGAAAATATGATATTCAAATAAACAAAATAAATTTGATATTTAAATCATCTATTAGATTCATAGACCAGATTTTATAACGTAAACCAAACGTTATTAATAAACTCCTTAGATTAATCCATTATTTATGAATTAGTAAAAAATGTGTCTATCATATACATGTAAGGGACGTTGATCTAAATATACATTATACTGTTTATTTTTAATTCATTATCTGAATTTACACCTACTTTTGCTACATGAAATAGTTTATAACTAGCTGTTTGTCCGTTCTACGTACGGGAATCTTGAAGTAAGTTGTAACATTATATTCAGAACAGGAGTTGGTTTGCATATTTAGTGTGCATTTTTCCAGATATGCTGGCAAAACTATTACTGTATAGTTATAGTTACATATAAACCTTCGCAAATACAATATCTGACAGTTTCAAAGCCAAAACGAATGCTTCGTAATTAAATGTCACCCAAGCGCCTGAAAACAGCTGGTGACGTCATGGCAGACCCAGAAGTAACCTAATTGCATGTCCGTTTCTGAAGGAACTTATACTTCAGACATATCCAGCAGCCTTCAAATTGGGGTGCTGTTAAGGCTTATATTTTTCTTCATAGAACTAATTTTAAAAATTTTGAATATTTTACATAAGTTACATATTCTTTACTATTATATTATATATTATATTAAGGAACAGATTCTAAATTGATACCCAGCTGATGATTTGCAATCGAATGATATTTTGTTTCGGACAAATAATATGCATTTTAAAGGATTCAAAATAAATAAGATGAATTTTAAAATTTTCTATAATGATAGTTCGGTATGTAAGTTTTATAAAGTAAATGCAATGAGTTAAAACAACATTATTATCTCCTTTCGGTGTTACCATCCCTTTGTGACTTTTTAACTATATATTGCCCTCTCGTATGAACACAGAATAAGTTTTGAATACATAATTTAAGTGTCAGTGGAGACAATTATTTTCAATTGTTCGCAACGTTTTACTTCAAGAGTACATACCACTATCTAAGGAAGTATATTGCGGTGTTATCGAATGTATAATCCGTAATATTCTACTGTTAGAGACTATACCATGTTAGATCCTCTGCAGAAGTAGACGGTAAAGGTGGGTTAAGTCGAAGTTGGATTGCAGACAAGAACCTTTTAACTGATGTGAGGCTAGAGTCTGTTCTACTGGTAGCACTGGAGGATAAGTGGAGTGTGTCCGTTCGATGGCAGAGCTCTGAACAGGCTGAGGAATAGATCATGCATACACTTTAGTTAAGGGTCTGTAGAAAACTATACCCTGTATGATAAAACCTATCTCCTGACTCTCCATCTATCTGGAACTGGCCCTTGGTCAGTCCCCAGATTCCATCATACAGACTGTAGTACTAAGTATAATGTTTTGCAATGAAGGGTTCACCTCTAGTGTTAATTAATTTTAAGACGTTTTGGCCTTAACATCTTATACACTTCAAGAATGTTTAATTACCGTCATCAAACAGGAAGGAAGCTAGTAAACCACAGTGTTGGACTTGTTTGGGACTGTAATAGGCACAATATCTAGAATTTCCCATAAACAAACAGGATTCGAACCACGATCCAAAAACATCAAAGAGTTTGAGGTTCTCTCAGTTAAAATTCCTTTTTTGTTGGTAGAACAGAAACAAGGAAAACATTTAATTTACTTTCATGTACGTGAAGATGCTATTGACAATATTTAAAGACCCTTACAAATATGGATACACTCAAAACACACAAGTATTTCAAGTATGTGCAAAAGTGTTACTCTTTTTATTGATAACCTAAATCAGACTAATACATATTTATGGTTACGGTATTGGAAGCACTCGTTTTTATAGACAAGGATGTGTTTGTCCAAATTTACGAAAAGGACAAACTGTAATGAGCCTTTCTTACCTGAGGAGAACTTGAAGGATTGTACTTGAGGTGGCTCAGACAGTCTCCCTGTGAGCACAGCGACCAAGAGAGAAATGCTGGGAAGAAAAGGAGGCACCTGGACCATGTCGTCATATGTCTTCTGGTACAATGGTTCACGGCAGTCGTAGTATCTTCTGCTCAAATCTTCGAACCTCCTGAAAATAGTTCTCAGGTGACTAAGCAGAAAATTTCTAGATGAAATATTCAAAATTGTTAAGATTATCAGGTCCAAAGTAGGCATTTTTGTAACAATGGTGCGAATTTGAACTTTGATGCATTCAAAAGGGAAATGGGTAGGTAATAAAAATCGTAATCCCAGGTTTGGACCATTGACTATGAAGAGAACAAGATAGTCAATTCTAATGATAGAATGAAAATGAAAAAGCCGCGTCAATTAAATTCAGTTACAATAATGTTTTACTTCATCTGAAGTCGTGTTTTGAACATCATTTGCTACCATCACAAACCTCCCCAACCTAAAACCCTCTGCTATTAGGGTCACTAAAACCCTAAAGCCTATTAGAGGTTCGAAGAGAGCCTTACACTTCAAGACTTCCTCTCATCAACTTTATTTGGCCATTTCATGAATTTGGCTTTTTTTGACAATTTGGGCCATTGTATTGACCTTTCCAACTGTTTGTAGTGAGTTCCATTTACTACTAAAGTAAACTCTGTCCAAACAGGTTTCTTATTAGCAAATATCAGAATTCCTCACTTACGTCCCCTTCTTCTACGTTTGCTTTCAGTTTGGGATGAAGTATACGATTTTGCAGTAATCAAAGGCTATATTCCTAGATGTCTAGATACATTAAGGACTTCATGGTTACCTGTAGTTGGACGCGTGGTGTTTTCTGACATAGCCCCATGTCTTTTGCAGCCTGTAGATCGATGGACAGTGCAGACCAATCAGAACAGCTTCTGCAGACATCTGACTCTGTCGGCTGTGGCAGTTATGAGCCATGCTCATGAACTTGCCAATCACACGAGCTCTCCTCTGCAAAAGACGTTGAAAATCGAAAACAAATCAATCAAATCACTGTATACGTGCCATCTTCAAGTGAGAACCGTTTCAGAAACAAAGCATCTTTGTCCATCAACGTCAATTGACTACTATGTGAGAAAGAAGTCACTCTGAAGATGGGTCTCAACATCGAAACATTGATGGACAGTAACTTTTCATAGATAGTTAGGAAAGGGATAAACTGAAAAGTGCTGCAGCAAAATTTAGGGTGAGCTGACTGGAAATCAACAGTGGCAGAATCATCAAGATATTCTAACTTCAAGGTATAATATCAATGTATTCTATTGGTTTTCTATTGCCTATTGGCCTTTGACTTGGTCGTCCATCCACGAATCTATAGTATATGCTCGTGGAAGCATATAATTGAAGATTAAAACCAAATACTGATTATTCGTATAATACCTTTACATCGTATACTATGTGCGAATATTCTTAGAATTTAGGCGATTGTGGCTTTCAATCATTGGAGTCTTCTTCTGGCATTGTTTTATCATCAGTTATTTTAAATGCCTAGTTTGTTCTTAAATGTATGCAATATAACGTCCCCATATTTTCCAGTTTCAGTGGTTCAATGTATTTTACTCATACCAACCTTCCCAAAACAAATGTATCCCATCATTTTGACTAGTATCTCAACCTTAACTAAGACAGTTATTGTTGTTTGCCTAACAATGCCCAGGGCAATGATCTTTTTCAAGAGATTTAGCCATTCAAGACATGTAAATAAGCCGTAGAGGTAAGGCTAATGTTACCTGGACATCTTGTTCTTGAAGAATGCAGTTTGCAACCACACAAGAAATCCTTTGAGAGAAAAATATAAGAGTACGCAAACTTGGAGTTCTCCAACTTCCTTTGTCTTTCTGAGCTCTTGCTAGATCCAGAGCGGAGATCTATGAAAACAAAAGAACGAATTTATGCGAAATATTCAGATATTCATGTTTTATAAATATTTACAAATGCTTGATACGTCATTAATGACAGTATATAAATAGTTATCTGTAAGTTCGTAATATGTTCCACGTTTAAACCTTGGATGGAATGTATATCCAAAGACATTCGAAAATAGAAACATTTTGTCGATACTAGACGTTGCTTCGTTGCCACAACTTTAAAAATTAATATTTTATTTTTAAAACACTATCTCAGAACCGGAGGAGAAAATATACTATACAGAAATGCATCGGGAAGGCAATATGGCTACGCCACTGTTGGTAACTAACTTTGAACAAAATCTAGCTAATGTGTTGAAGGGGCTTTCGTATGGACAGAGAGACATCCCCTTTTTATGATACACTAGAAATAAATTTGAATAACAATGCTAAGGAGAACAACTTGAAAAAAACCAATATTGTATGTGCACATTTCAATAGGTTTGTCAACCGAGACCTATTAAATCTTTTGACATTAATATTAATGTTGAATAAGCATAAAAGAAAGGTTCAATTAGTTCAATAGACCTTTAGAAACAGCTGTTTGTGCGCCATGATCAGCTGGTTGGCTAGTGTTGATGAGGAGAATCTTGTAACTGGTAGCAGCCATCCTTCATCTGTGGAGAGAAAAATACAAGTTAGTTTACATACCAGTTCTTCACTTACCTTAATGGTTGTTAAACCTGAAGGTTAAGTTCTTGAAGGCGTTTTAGTGTGTCTTTAGAACAAAAATAACAAATTGGTATTGAGGCTATAGTTTTCGCTATTAAAAACGCGATACAGCTGACAATTTTAAATACATTTTGAATATGAACCGATTATGACATGTTATGGCAATTTTATTGGTTTGATTGAAGTTTTAATTGGATTCAATAGTTGAGATATTAATAATGATTTTACTAGAAACTAAGACTAAGATATTATATTTAAAATTTATTAAAATCAACACTTAAGAAGTATATGTCCGTAATTTACAGTTGTGTTGGCAAAATAACCACACTAAATACAATTATACAAACTGTTTAAAATTTACAATTTACCTTCATTCTTCATAAAACTAGTCAGACCGAGAGTCATCTTTGAATCACCACAAGCACCATTAAACTCATGATTTTGACAGGCGTACTTTTTCCATCTGCAAGAGATAGAATATCACATATAATTTCAATGGACATTGTTACCTATTTTAATGATGATCATTAATAGATACCACTTAATAAGTAATTAAGTTTAAACATAGGTGCTTGATTTTAATTTAATAATGCCTTTGCTGAACACTGTACCCAAAATGAAGCTTGTGATTTTCTTAAGCACTTGAACCATACAATTACATACTATAAATAGTATTATACTGTAGGGACAGAGTATGGTTGCAGAATAGTAGTACCGAAGAGAGGTACTAGTAGCGCCAGTATCGTCACGTCGATAAGGCAGATTGTCAACAATGGATTGTGTGGTTACTTAATTCTCTACTAGGAGCGCTAGCACTGAAGTGACAACCCACCCTTAGCGGTTTGTCAATATTTTCATACTTAAAATTAAATACACATTATACAGTGTGTAAATTAAGTCTGGCACACATTTTTAATCTTTTTTCTATAGTAGATAGAGAAATCAATTTGCGGAACTGATTAATAATAAATGTTAGGCACTTTTTACAAATTTTGAAACGATGTGTCTGAAATTTTTTTTGTATCCTGTCTAATATGGCGGCTTAAAATGTACTTAGGGTTGAACGGGTGAATTAAGTCTGAAACACATTAAAATTTTTTCAGACACATCATAAAATTTGTCTTCCAAATACCTTTAAAATGAGGGGGTCACAAGATGGGGGTTGTCATTTGAAAATCTTTAGTTACCCCCCACCACCACCTTACCCTTAAGGGGATTTTTTTCAAAATTATGAAAAAGTGCCAAACATTTGTTCCCACTCAGTCCCGCAAATTAATTCCTTCTAATCTACAAAGAGTAAAAAAGATAAGAAATGTGTGCCATACCTAATTTACCCGTTCAACCCTAAGTACATTTTAAACTGCCATCTTGGATAGGGTGCAAAAAAAAAATTCAGACACATTTTTGGATTTGTCTTCCAATGACCTTTAAAATGAGGGGTCACAAGATGGGGGTTGTCATTTGAAAATCTTTAGTTACCCCCCACCACCACCTTACCCTTAAGGGGATTTTTTTTTTCAAAATTATGAAAAAGTGCCAAACATTTGTTCCCACTCAGTCCCGCAAATTAATTCCTTCTAATCTACAAAGAGTAAAAAAGATAAGAAATGTGTGCCATACCTAATTTACCCGTTCAACCCTAAGTACATTTTAAACTGCCATCTTGGATAGGGTGCAAAAAAAAAATTCAGACACATTTTTGGATTTGTCTTCCAATGACCTTTAAAATGAGGGGTCACAAGATGGGGGTTGTCATTTGAAAATCTTTAGTTACCCCCCACCCCCCCCCCCCCTTGCCCCTTGCCCTTAAGGGGATTTTTATTTTCAAAATTTGTAAAAAGTGCCTAACATTTGTTATTAATCAGTCCCACAAATTGATTTCTTCTATCTACTATAGAAAAAAAGATAAAAAATGTGTGCCAGACTTAATTTACACACTGTATACAATGATCCGTGGAAGACATATTAAAGATACTTTGCTCCCCGCTAGAGGGTGTTTTGATATTCGCTGAGGGTTTCTTGTATTTCTCAAACTCAAAACTATATAAACTAGATAAAACAAAGATAAAACAATATTTACAAACCTTTGCTTGTGTTTTTGGTTTATACCCTGAGGGTAAATCATATATGGTAAAATATACCAATAAGATAAATATTTACTCAAAATGAGTGCACTAAAGCTTGACTGAAAAAAATGCACAAAAAACTGGCTTTAAATTCTGCAATAGAATTATTGCTGCTATGTCTTTCTAAAACAAGAATAATGTGTTTTTGTTTTCAGTAACTATATTAAGTTGGCTGATTTAAGGGATTAAATTTCATTTATATTAATATTAGAAGTAGCCTAATTCAACTTTTATAACAAACTTCTACCATAGATAAAACTATTCCCTTACATATGCTTCAACCAAATTATTTATCTTTTACCTGATCGAATTGTTTTCCTTGGTCTTTTGAAGATAAAGTGAATCATTCGATTTCTTTTTGCTTTTTAATCGAAACGTTTCTGAAAAAAAAACAAAAAAAAACAAATCACTTCACAACAAAACAAAACCTACATGACAGCATAATGCTGTGAGTAATAATACAGATCTTAATGATATGCGATTGTTGATTTGTTAGTTAGAAATGTCATAAATTATTATTTTTTTTATTTCCTCATTTTATGTCATGTTAAACTGATGTATTTTGTTCATACCCTCAAAATCCATATTATATGACGTAGGCCTGTGTATTTTGAATTTTTGTTTCATGCATACTTACTCGTAATATAATGTACAATTTCAGCTTCTATTTTATTAGGCAATTTTTCTATATATGTTTTTAAACACTGGAAAATAGTAGAACAACACCTGAACATATGGGATTCCCACACTTTCGATAAAGGTTAAAGTTAAATATAATACTTAGAAGAATGTAATCCATGAGGACATTCCCAAGCTTGGAGTTGGAGTACTTTATCCAACCTTAAGATTTATAATAGTTTAATTTGATTTTTGTTTCAAATACGATCAATATGTTGACAAGCAGTTTTCAAAGTAATAAAAATGTCAAAACAACCATTTTCAACTTACGTGGATCAGTTCGTTTTCTCATAGCCCTCAAGTAATGTTGCTGCCTCTTGTATTGGTCACCCCCCCACTGTAGGAGATGTTGAGGAAAACGCGTCCAGAAATTCAGTTCATCTCTGAAAGATTTAACATTATAAATTTTGGAAATAATAATTGTCAATATTGTTGTATAGTGAATAAATCGATATGATGCTCGCTTTTAAATGAGAAAGTTGCTGTTAAAAAAAAAATAATGTTGGAAACGTTTTGGTGGTTTGAGACTGGGCCCTAACGATGGAGTATATGAAATCAACTTTAAACAGTAACGGAATTTAATAATACTCCATAATTGAGTGGGAAAATGTGCAGGATTAGCACTCATTTTAATACTTGTTTGAGAATAACCTACTTGCCTGAGTATGAATCTAAAGCTTCTACTATTGAAAGATACAACTTACTGGTGAGATTGAACATCTTCCGATTCCTGAAGCTTTTGCAGCGAAGAAGCAGGGACAGCTAGGGACTCTAGCGACACCCTCCTCAGCAGACATCCTTTAGGTATTGGAGGTTGAAACTCTTCAGCATCCTCTCGAAGATCAACTAGAGATGCGTTCTTCTTTGTCTGTGAAAAATTACGTCTTACAGAATGATTTTAACGGTTTTCATTTTTTGCAGTGGAATTAAATGCAATATAAAATGGTCCGTTATATTCTTGCAATCATCATTTAGGGGCAGAACAGTAGAAAATCCTTTTTTAGGGACTGCAATAGGTAAAATTGATTTTTCATTTCAAAAGGTGTCTGCCAAACTTGCAATCACACGAAATCTTCTGGACCGTATTACATAAAATTTTTAAAAAAATAATCTACGTAATTATGATTGCTATATGTATTTCCCCTCTTAATCCCTTAGAGGTTCAAAGTGAGTTGAAATATTGCTGTGTTTATTTATTTTAGACAGCTGGTTAAATTGACCTAGCGAGAATTTTGAAATTATCTAACACAATTGATTTTCAAAAACTAAAGGTGAAATGGTTCAATCCCTCTTTTAGTGGTTTGACACCCAGAATTTTTCATCTGCGTAATTCCCTCTTTGTAAAGCAAGGTAAAGCTATTATTACAACGAAACTAAATTAAATGGAAATGTTTCAGCCTTACAGATTTACCTGTATTGAGTTGCAAAGTGCTCTAGACATCCCTAGTCCTACACCCTCTAGCAAGTAGGGACAGGGACTGAGGGCGTACCTTCTTCGGACCCTAGGGCGAAGTCCAGGAGCTCTCTTCCTCCAGTCCCAGATCTCCACCGCCTCCGCTGACATCACCTCGTGCTGGGTCGACAAGATCAGAGGTTCCTGGAGTACATAGAGTAAGCTGTATTGTCTATGTCTAATACATAGAGGATGAAGGTAGTTGCATCATACCCTACATTATAATAACTATAAGGTTTCAATGCCTACCGAACCTCTTAAAATAAAAGTTTTATTTTTGCAATACGTTGGAAATAGGCTATAGTTTTTGGGAAAAATGTCCCATTTAATAAAAAGTTAATAAAAAAGTGCAATACAATACAATTTTTTTAATATTGCAAAATAATGTTTCATAAACTTACATGATAGCTATTCTCATGACTGGATACAAATAATTTGAAATATATTAATCAAAGTGTTATCCATGACTGATAGATATATGTAATTTCAAATAGGCCTACTCCAAAACAAAATAGACGATACGCAAACTGATGATACAGCAATATTAACAACCATTAAATATTTTTGTCATTAAAATTATCTGAGCTACATCTAATTTGTAATCTTATGTTGTATACAGAAATAAATCAGCACAAATATGAAAAGAAATCAATTGTGATTACATTGTGATCTTATCCAATTATTTATTCGTATTCTAGAGGTTTTTAATTTCCACGTTTACTTAAAAAAGTTGACAATAAAAAATGATCGGAACAACAGAGTGTCACATGAGATAAACATGTCGTTAAAAGAAACTTTGCGAAGAAATAGGCCTACAGTATATTTATATTTAATATTTTGACTATTGGGGCTGAGAGGATAAATTAAACGTAATGGGATCTGATTTATAACAAAACTGAGACTAAAAATTATTAACAGTTTAGAATCAGTAATTTTATTTATACATAATCTAAAACTTACTTTTGTTTGATACTTTACCCTGTTCCTAGGCGCAGGTTTCCTAAAAACAAACAAATTTAAGGCTTCACACCGACCAGTATCAACATAAAACTGAAATGTCTAACATGAGTTCTTGATCCCTTCATTATGCACTAATTCAGCTATACAGTGTTCGTTTTTAAAACTGGTTACAACTGGATGTAACTCGTAAATATTTTCTTCATTTAAACACTTTTTGTTCTTCGTAGCTTGATGCTAAAAGTAATTTTTAACATGTTTTGAGCATGGTTTCATAAAAATACAAAATATTTTATTTTTATCTTTAGTGCTTAACGGGGATAACTTAAAAACATATTTAACTCAAAAGAACACTACTATTAAAGCTATCTTGCAGTTGCTTGGCAGTATTATCATTTAGTAAAATCTTTGAGTCGTCCAACTCATTACCTTGTACTTTTCAACCGTTCCCGTGTCATATCACCAGCTCCGTCACAGACTGAAAAACCGCCGATGCCTTTGTCCTTGAAATTCGGACCCAGATACAAATTGGGATCCATCCAGGAACTCTAGAAAAGTCTGAGTTAGACATTGTATGGGAACTAGAAAATAACCCTGTTTGTCAAAGAAAATAACTAGGTACAGAATAATACGTGAAAGTAGACGTTGAAGTATCGTTATGTAAATAAGTATATGTAAAAATAAAATTTGTATGTCTAGAACATGAAGTGTTTTTTCCTTAATCAAATTAATTGGATGTCTGCTGTTTTATAATCTAGAAATCGGATATACCAGCTATCTGTAAAATTACTGAATTGTATTTAACAGATTAAGAAAGGGATTGATTACTAAAGTATGACAAGCTTTTAAACATTTGATTAGTTTTCTATAAGTTTCATGATAGCACCTTTGCCACTATGTCAGAAATTGCTAGTTTTAGACAGCTTGCCTCCATTATATCAACATTGCTGTCACGCTGCCTTGTCTATGAAGGAAAGATGATACAACAATTGCAAACTCTTCTTATAAATTCACGGACCCGAAGGTTTTGGAGCAGATAAGGTTAACAATATTTCAGCTGCATGTAATTTTCGGGAAACTCATTACTCATTCTAAAACAACTAACACTGTCTGGCTTATGCCAGAATGTAAAATCAGTTGTGTCATCTGGCCATGTAAATATTCCGCAACATTTCCTGGAGGCTTTATGAATGGAAATGAACTTTCTACACAGATGAATGGAAACGCACCCAGCTGTCCGAGATCGCCGCTCTTTCATTGACGATTCTATGAAATATCTTTAAATATCTCTACCAAGAAATAACAATGCTATACAAGGTATCAAAGCATCCCACAATCTATGATTCGTCTTGTCATTCATTAAATTTAAATCCGTCATTAATTAATCTAAAATTTTAGAATAAGATTAGAAGTAAAATTGAATTGTAAAATATCTTGTCCATAACGGTATGCCCGATCATGCCTAATTTGCCTCAAGATTTCATGAATAGTAAGTTAACTGTAAACTATCATTAACAGTGTATCAAGCAACTCAAGAGAAGTTCACCTCGTCTTTTCTTCTTCTTCTGCATATAACATACCCTTCCCTTCTTCATTTCTTTTACCTATTCCCCATCCAAATCCTTCACGACCTCCACTTATTAATCTACTCATCCACTACTTGTAATAAGTCACCCCACCGTAGTATTCATCTTTACTTTCCCTCTACCTCATAATCCATTTCCTCCTCCAACCCACAATTCTGTACTTCTGTACTTCTTCTGTACCTTTTCTTCCACTTCATCCAATTACTCTACTTCATATCTACCAGGGATTCCAATGATTCACCTCGTCACCCACCCTAACAACTTCTAATTACCTCTCCACAGGCGTAATGATTCCACAGGGTCGGAGTCCCGGTCTTGTTGACCGAGAGGGAGCTCCTGGCGATATACAGGGAGGGACTACTGCTGGTGCTGCTCCCTATGGAAGTCTCGGAGACGGAGTTTCCACTCTCGTAGGGGGAGAGGAACGTGACCCTCTCACACCACAGAGACCACAGCATCTGAAGGAGAATTGTTGGATGAGATTAAAACGTCTCTTGGGATTATAGGTAATTCACGTGAGTAATTATAGCAGTGAAATGCCTTTTTGGACACATTCCAGTGTAAGGCTTTTACAACAGAAATATGTTTACTGAAATTTAAAACTAAAGTTGCTCATTATAAATTTACTCCACATATGGTATACGTACATGCTACGAAACATTATTTCTCTTATTTAAAATTGGTTAGTTAGGCCCCAAACTTTTGAATGATAATTTTTTAGTAAATGTAGTAGCTTATTTTACCACCACCTTCGGTCCAATTCTGTATTTTTTATACTAATTTTTAAAACAGTTATACCTTTGTAACCTTTGTACCTTTGAAACCTTTGTAAATGGTTAAAGATAAAATTGGTCCATAAAGTTTGAGCTACTTTCTGAAGAAATAACGAGAACCTTTTAATAATAGTAAACAATAGTTAAATTGAAAGTTAAACCTAATTTATTAGCAAGGGATTTGCCCATCTTCTTCCGCTCCTTCCCATCCCATCCTTCTCATCTCATTCCAAATCTTCTTCCATTCACACATCGCACCCTTCCCTCAAAACCCCCTCCTCCTCTCCTCTTCATCTCTACCCATTCATCCCAAAATCATCCCCTCTTTTTGCTTCCCTTCATCTTACCTGACCTTCACAAATTTAAAGTACCTTCTCAAATTAAAACTCTCCATACATACCTTACGCTCCTGCCATCCACCTATCTCGAAGAAGACCACCTTCCCGTTGCAGAAGCGGGCCTTCAACGTTTGTCTGCGCCGTCGTCTATAGACAGATAGGTTGACGCTCTCCACCGGGTAAGCTGACACCAGCTCGAAACTCTCGATGTCCAAATCCTGACCTCTTGGAGACCTCCAGTCTTGATCTATCTCTGCCACAGGCTCCACGTGGTAGGACGCAACAATGAGCTTGGTGGGAGTCAGTCCTTTAAAAAGTAAGAACAGTTCTCAACCGGTCCACTGGGATTGCGCCACTAGGGCCAGATAGCCACCGGCAAAGTGCCAGTGCCAAATCTATCCCCAAAACGCACCGTCATAGCGCCAATGCGGCATTTCTTTTGTCAGAGGTTTTTCTGAGAAACTACCCCAGCAGTGTGCAAACAGTGGTGTCCACTTCTCATTCATCGTTCAAACCACAGTTCAACTTTAGTTTCTCCCTTCATTATCTGGTTAGGTTAGGATAGGTTAGGTTAGATAAGTTAGGTTAGGTTAGGCTAGATTCCATCTTCCACCCGATTACCTGGCTACCTGGCTACCTGGAGTAGCGTTGGCGCAATCCCGGTGCGTGCCAGGCTGACCCTTTAAACCCTCACATAACTGGCGCAATTCCGGTCTATCCTTCTCAACTCCGCAAAACCAACCCTACTTCCTTTTTCTATGAAATATGATCTTTGGAAATGTTTTATTTGTGCCATGCTCAGTTTTTATTCGTACACTATTTGAAAATGTTTATTGTTTAAGATGAGCTTATTTTTTGAAAATTTAAAGTTTACAAAGAATGTGCTCACCCTTGTCCAATTGAAAAAACGACGGAACCCTGTCCTATCACTTCTTTGCCCATAGTTGAGACATCAAAGATCAAAGAGAAGGGAATACCTCCAATAAACTTATGTCATAGTACATTTGAGTGTGCTGATGGGATTGTGGTGCATTCTGTGTGGTTATAGGCCTAGTCTGTATGATGGCGACTGTCTCTTGACCCGCAGACGAGTTCAGGGAACTGGTTTCACCATGCAGACTATATTATTGTTTATGTCTGAAGTGCATCGGTTCGTCATTAAAACGCTACTTTTCAAAGACGCGTCTGAGAACAATGTGTACGGGAAAATAAAAATGTTAAAGAGTATTCGTCTCCTCAAGAGCAAGACCAATATTGTTTCTTATAATATAAATTGCAGAGATAAATAGCACAATTGAGTTGTGTTTCTAGCCTAGTGGTTAGCATCTCGGACTTCGGTACGGGAGGGACGGGTTCAATTCCCGGCACATCCACAAAAATTTAATATGGTTTGGACCACTTTCCCTTAAAAGCGTTTGACCTCACGTTAACGTCTAGTAAAAAATGGGTAGAAAAACATTTGCCTCAATTATAGCCCTTATGGTGTTTGTTGGTTTATTGGAGGACCTTATAGAACGAAGATATAGATTTATAATGATAGAAACACTATTGAACGGGAGTTCCTTTTCTACCCAGAAAACCTTTCCTCCATAGGTTTATCAACCTGTCCAGGCTGCACTTTACTTTAGGTCCTACACTCATTCGAATGAAAGTATCGATCGATATTGTTTGTATATTACTTACTTAAAAGTCTTTGTTTAAAATAATTTGTTTTACATATGTTGTCAATAATAATTAAGCAATGATATTGATTGTAAACAGTTATAGAATAAAGAGAAACAACTTGAATGTTAAAAAATACTTTTTACTTTTTATCAAATTAAACATGGCGCAGTCGGTAAAGATTTGATTAAAAATAATATCAGAAGAATATACACAGAAATGGAATTTAACAAACCGGATATCCTAAGCCTTGAAGGCAACTTGGAGGAAAATTTTAGGACATTTAAAGAAGAAGTGGAGATATATTTTATAGCCACTGAAACCGAAAAGAAACCTAACTCTATACAAGCAGCAAGGCTTAAAAACCTACTAGGAAAAGAAGCATTGAAAATTTATAAAGATTTCAAACAAGATGAACCAGAAACAGTAAAAACGATATTAGAGACACTAGAGAAGTATTGCACGCCAAGAAGGAATGAAATCATGGATATTTATAAGTTTTTCAAAAGAAAGCAGCAACAAGATGAACCATTTAATAAATTCTATTCGGACCTAAAAAATTTAGTCAAACCATGTAAATTTGAAGAACAAGAGGAAAAACTGTTGAGAGCTCAGATAATACTGGGATTAAGTTCAAAAAATGTCCAAGAAAAACTTTTGAGAGAAGATCTAAAATTGGAAAAGGTAATAGAAACCTGCAAAACGATGGAGTTAACTGAACAAAATATGAATGAAATCAATGAGAAGAAAGAAGTACTTCAAATTACAAATATTCATGATGAGAAGAAAGAAGTTCATCAAGTAACTAAAACCTTTGCTGGGACACGTAAGTTGGAGGACCAAACAGGTAAAAGATGTTTTAAATGTTACAGATGTGGTGGTAGTCATGGAAAACAACAATGTCCAGCTTGGGGTAAAATCTGTAGTAAATGCAAAAAGTCAAATCATTTTGGAAGTATGTGTAGGACAAACTTAAATATTCTTTCTAATGAGAAATGTAACGAAGTAACTGATCAAAGTAGTAGCTCTTTTGTGCATAATTGCCAAGGCTATGAGATTAACACAGTTTGTGTAGTTGATTCCATTGGTAATCAAGAAAAAGCTTGGTATAAAAGTGTTAAAGTTGAAGGGTTCAATGTAAGAATGAAACTTGATACTGGGTCTGAAGTAGACATTGTCCCATATTCCTTTGTAAAACTAAATAAACTACAAAATAGGATGAAGAAAAACCTAAACAAACTAATTTCATTCGGGGGGTTTCAAATAAATCCAGTAGGATACATAGATGCACAGATTGAGACAGAAAATAAAATGGATGTTGTAAAGTTAGTAGTGGTCAGTGGAGAATGTACTCCAATCCTAGGGCTGAAATCTTGTCTAAGTTTAAATTTAATAAAGAAGGTAGATACTGTTGCTAATGGTTTATCAGTAAAAGAAGATGAAGAAAAATTAAAAATTTATAACAATTATAAAGATGTTTTTGATGGTGTGGGTTGTTTCCCTGACATTTGTAAGATAAAATTAAAGGAAGATGCAGTACCACAAGTAAGTTCTGCTAGAAGAATACCATACAAAATTAAAGATAAATTTGAAAAGGCATTAAATTCGCTGGTTGACAATGAAATTATTAAGCAAGTTGAAGAGCCGGTTGAATGGGTCAATAATATTGTAGTACTAGAAAAGCCAAATGGATCTTTAAGAATCTGTATTGATCCTACACAACTTAATAAATATATCATAAGAGAGAGGTATGCAATTCCTTTGCTAGAGGACTTGGCTCCAAACTTAAGTAATAAGAAATACTTTACAATTTTAGATTTGAAAGACGGGTTTTATCATATAAAACTAGATGAAGAATCCAGTAAAATGTGTTCATTCAGCACAATCTTTGGAACTTACAGATTTTTGAGGGCACCTTTTGGCCTCTCTTGTGTACCTGAAATATTTCAAAGATTGGTACACAAATATTTCAAAGATATTAAAGGTCTTTCAATCTATTTCGATGATTTGTGCATTGCTACTGATACTAAAGAGGAAAATGATAAAATTATAAAGCAGGTAATGGAAAGAGCAAAACAGTATAATATTAGATTTAACTATAGTAAAATGCAATACTGTGTTAATAAGGTAAAGTATATTGGTGCTATATTCAGTGAACAAGGGATGCAACCGGATCCTTCAAAAATAGAAGCAATAAAGAATTTTAAAACTCCTACATCTAAGGTAGAATTACAAAGATTTTTAGGTATGGTAAATTACATCAGAAATTTCGCCCCTAATTTGGCTTCAATAGCATCACCTCTTAGAGATTTACTAAAAAAGAATGTTCCCTGGCAATGGTATGAACATCATTCTAATGCTCTTGAAAAAATCAAACAATCACTCTGTAGTAATCAGGTCTTAGGGAATTTTGATCCATCTCTTCCTATTGAAATACAATGTGAAGCTTCACAGGATTCTGTAGGGTGTTGTTGCATGCAAAATGGCAGGCCTGTTAGTTACTTTTCTAGAAGTCTGACCACAGCAGAAGTTAATTATGCTCAAATTGAAAATGAATTATTAGCTATTTGTTTTTCGTGCAAGAAATACCACAACTATATATATGGAAATGAAAATGTAACAATTTTTACTGACCATTTACCTCTGTTGTCAATTTTTAATAAGCCATTGTTTAAAATTGTCAATAACAGAATAAGAAGACTCAGACTTAAATTGATGATATACAGTTTTAAACTAAAATATTTGCCAGGAAAAAACATGCATATTGCAGATTTTTTATCTCGGAATGGTATTAAAGATGAGGTTGAATGGCATGAACCCTTAGATGGTATTGTGCATTGTATTGAATCTTCTGAAGTAAAGTTTAGTGATAGAAGACTTGAGGAATTTAAAGAGGAAACAAGAAATGATGATGTTTTAAACAAAGTTGTACAATTTTGTAAAACCCAATGGCCAAAATCTGTTAATGATGGTGATCTAAAGACTTATTTCAATATGAGAAATGATGTAACTCATCAAGATGGATTACTCTATTTGAATGACAAACTTATAATACCAAGTAAACTGAGGAAATTTATGCTATCACACCTGCATGAGACTCATCTGGGAACAACTAAAATATTGAAAACTGCCAATTTATTTTTTTACTGGCCAGGAATGTCATCAGACATAAGAAATACAGTATCTCAATGTTCTATATGTATGAAACACCAACGTTCAAAATTGAATGAACCTTTAAAAGTTCACAGTGTTCCTCAAATACCCTTCATCAAGATTGGAGCTGATATTGCTGAATATGCAGGTAAATACTATCTTGTAACTGTTGACTTTTATTCACGTTGGATTGATGTATTTAAGTTGAACAGTAAAAACAGTAATACAATAATTGGTAAATTCAAAGAGCTATTTAGTCGAAATGGGATCCCTATGTATTTGGTGGCTGATAATCAACCATTTAATAGCTATGAAATGAAACAGTTTTCTATAAATTGGAATTTTACAATAATCACATCAAGTCCTCACTATCCAAAAAAGTAATGGACTAGCAGAAAAGGCTGTAGGAATTGTAAAGAAAATGTTACAGAAGAGTGCTGAAAGTAAACAGGATTTTGAACTCTTCTTATTAAATTATAGAAACTCACCTGTTGCAAACCTGGACTATTCACCTTCTCAGCTTTTAAACAGCAGACACATAAGATCAAAACTACCTATACCAAACAGTTATTTACAGCCTAAAACAGTTTCTTTTGAGGTACATGAAAGCATAAATGAAAGCAAAAGGTATCAAGAACAAATGTATAACAGATCAGCCTTAAAAAAAGAAGATGAATTCCAAGTTGGAGAAGAGGTTTTAGTACAGGATATTAAAACCAAATTTTGGAATCCTGGTGTGATTTTTAAAAAATTACCGGAACCTCGTTCTTATTTGGTAAAATTAGAAAGTAATATTGTTTTAAGAAGAAACACACACCATATAAGAAAAATTAAATCTATGTTAAAAAAGAAGGACAGTCAAGACGGCTAAAAAAGGGAGATGTTTGTATATTACTTACTTAAAAGTCTTTGTTTAAAATAATTTGTTTAACATATGTTGTCAATAATAATTGAGCAATGATATTGATTGTAAACAGTTATAGAATAAAGAGAAACAACTTGAATGTTAAAAAATACTTTTTACTTTTTATCAAATTAAACAGATATATCGATTAATCGATTGTTTCATTCGAATGAGTGTAGGACCTTAAGTAAAGTGCAGCCCACGTTACATAAAGAGGAGTGTGCCGGCTGGGACTGAACCTGAGGTATATACATTTATTATATCTTTGAAGACTTCTAGTCAATGATTATATCTAAATTTTACCATGTTATGTGGTGTTTAGTGGTGATCTATTTATGAGTACTAACCTATCTGCACTTGACGAATGCCTCTACCTTCTCGATCAGTTTCTGCAAAAGGTCCTTCCACTAACACTATGTCCTCTAGGTCACTGTACTCAGAAAATAACAACTTCTGAATTCTATTTGAACCCATGTATAAGGTATTAAATTAATTTTGGTTGTTCTAAGTATATTTGGGATGAACGAATATAATTTTAAGATCGTCTTAGTTGCTAATGTAATTGGAAAACATAACAAAATTTATTTATTTTAGACACTATGAATGTACACAAAACATTGTGCGTTTATGATTATCATATGTTTATACAGAGTAAGAAATCAATCTATCTAACCATATGTTTAATGATAGCTTTGATTATTAATAATATTCATTGACTATCAATACTGTATTTTAATAGATAAAATGTGCTAAAAGGTTTTTCAAGTAATAACTTGCCGAATTGATTTATTTAAATATCCTACAACAACAATTAAGTTAGTTTTCAAAAGAATTGCCGAACGAGAATTTGTATGAAAAGTGATGGACTTCTACAAAATAACCGTTGGAATCTACTTTCCGCAATACAGCCATTTGATATGAAACGATTGCTTGCATTTTCAATGTAAGTAGTTTAGAAGCTAACTATTGGTTGTCCGTAGGGAACAGAAGTCTTCGACAACCTCTTCAACAAATTGAAACAGTCTTATGGAGTTTTGTTGTGGAAGATTTCAATACAGCAATACATGTCGTTCTTGCATGTGTCACATATTTTTGACTTAGACTCCATAAACCCAATCACACTTAATGGCAAAGCACTCCCATACTACGACAATGTCAAGAATCTTGGTATATCTTTCAACTTTTCACTTACTTGGGACATAGCAGTTACGGACACACGAAAAAAGGTTTTTGCCTCCATACATTCATTGAAAAGATTACAGAATTTTTTACCACAACACACTAAACTACATTTGATCAAATCACTTGTACTACCCCACTTCAGTTACTGCAACTCATTGATCAATGACTTGACTGCGACTTAGGCGGGTATGCTCCAGCGGTCACAGAATTATTGTTTGAGATTTGTCTATGGTCTGCGACGTATGGAGCATATCACGCCATACTACCTTGAGGCACACATCCTGAAATTAAATGATCAAAGATTCATTAAAATTTTGTCATTGGTTTTTTCAATTTTGAAAACAGGCTCCCCAAAATATTTCAAATCCGATTTTAAATTTGTGTCTCAGGGTAGTTCACGAATGTCTCGTTATTCTTCGATTACATTGCGTATACCTCATCATGCCACCACAGCTTATGGCAGGGCTTTTGTTGTTACCGCTTGTCGTCTGTGGAACGGCCTACCCCTACACATTAAGACCCTTGAAAAACGTTCCCAGTTTGTGGCGGCACTGAAAAAGCTCTATTTTGAGAAGATGGTCTCGGCTGGCGTGTCCTAGGGCTACTGTTACCTTGCGCGTTTGCTGATGCGTGTATGCGAGAGTGTGTGAATGTGTTTTTCTATTTGTTAAATTTTTATGTTTTTTTTTTTTAGATATGTAGGTACTTGAACTGTTAAATATTTTATGTTTAATTAGATTAAGTTATCCCTATGTCACATTATTTATGTTATATTTTTAATGTCAGGTTAAGTGTAAGAAAGGGCCATGTGGCCCTAACTTTGCCTGAAAAAATAAAGGATTTTTCATTTCATTTCATATTTTTGTATGGATCTTAAACTTAAGGCGGGTTTCCAAAATCTTGTCAACAGACTCACTGACGTTACTCACGGCAAACCTATTCCAGATAACTGTGATTTTCCCGTAATCATTTGATAATCTCTATTACCAGGTCAGGGAGCAAAAATGCACTCTAGCCAGTCTTATGGAGCAACGTCATCTGAACCGTGTCATCTTACCGCATTCTACGCTTCCTTATTACTTTTCCAGACTCGACAGACTTGCAAATGATAAACGCTAAGGTATGTTTCTAAAGGATTACTATGCCAAACGTAAAACAGTCAAAGACTTCGATATGAAAATATAATGTCCAAGGGTTCCATGTTCCTGAGATAAAATCTAAATTGTAAACAACTGAAAATTCGATTCACGAACCACCGAGGTTTTTTTGCTCGTACTTGCCTGTAACCTTCTGTCTCAACACTACAAAACACATATTCCCTTTTAGATTTTTCATTCTTTTGAATGAGAAGAGGAAAACTTTAAGACTCTCTGCCGTAGTGTGTTAAGTCTTATGTTTACCTTTTCGTGTATTTAACCAGGAAGAATGAACCTTAGAAATTCTCAACCTACTGTAAAATCTGAGATATGAATATTTTTTTGATATGTATATCATGTCCAGCAATAATTTGGTGTGTTAATATTTATCTTAAATATAAAAGGAAGTTTTTAGTGTTCCTAGATCTCTTCTGCTACAATACCAAAGGGAATAAATCAGTTTATGAATTTTTGCTCAATATTATCACAATAATTTATCAAGAAATTACTAAATTTATTTTTAATACTAGATAAACGCTATAAAGTGACAAACTTAAACTAACATAATGAAATCTCCAATCAGTTGTCATCAGCTGATCAACAAGGAAGATAAATGATAAATGGTCAAAGACAACTAAATTCAATACCGAACTGTAAGACTAATCTATTCTATCAAAACCCCATCAGCAGGTGTGGTCACTGGTGGGAAACTGTCTCAAATTAGCAAACAATGGCAGTTCTATTGCGGGAGATCAGGAAAAGGAAGCGAAGCAACAATAGCCAGTGTCATCTGACATCTTTCTCTGTGTTTCATATGTCTTTCTCATGTCTCTGTGATGCAACTGTTTTCTTCAATGAGATGGAGACGTGTCAGAGAACATGTATCTTTGTCTGCATCGTTCGCCACTGCTAAGTAAATATTGGCTCTAAAGCATATATAAGTATAACCACTTGAGATATTTGGAAACAATAAGGAGGTTATTTTGTGTCCTTCGATGGCTTGAAACTTGGCCCAGCTGATGATAATTGCGCTTTTAACATATGTTTGTAACTGAAGTTACAGCTGATCTTTGGAAGTGACAAAACGATCATCTCATTGATTCAAAGTTATTTTCAGTCATTCCCTATCTAGAATACGCTCACCAATAGAACAACCAATAACATAGCCTCCTCTAATAGACCAAGGTGTTGGTAACGTCGCACCAGTAAGTTGTCATGGTAATAAAAGTAATACCAAACGCGCAAACAAAAATTGTAGCGAAGCTTTATGAATAAGTGCAACAGCTGTTTCAGTTTGCAGGTACTGTAACGTTTCCACCTGTGTTTTGTCTAGAGGATGCCATGCTAATTACAATCATTACAACCCAATATAATTGCAACACAAAACGGATATAGAAATAAGCTTCATTCTACGAATGAGAAGCCAACTTGCACTAAAGACAGATATTTCACTTTGTTCATTCCACTAAGATCCTTCGACCTTCTCTCGTCTTTCCAATACCATACTCTTGCATGAGGTCATCTTCAGTATGATACATTCTAACAGAAATATTTATAACGTATCAGGTAATGGACTTATTTTAAGGTTATTCAAGTATTGTCGTACAAATCAGCTGATTAGATATTTTTAATCAGCTGATCTGTGTAGATGTAGCATCCTTCATCCTTGGCACCCAGTCAACAACCTCAGCCCATTGTTGTGTTGTTGTGCAACTCTTAGCCTTGTAAGATGCTAACGGCGCTTTTGTACACATATTCTTGGCCTACTCCGTTTCCCCTTTTGTTGCCTATTTCCTCGTGTGGAACCAAAGCCCACGTATCAATTGGGATCCTTAACATCATAATTTTGGATCTTTTAGGTCGGTATGTTTTCGATAAAACCTTGATATATTGTATTACATACCGTACCCAATTATTTAATTGTTTAGTTGCAGGTGGTTTCCCTCAAACGAGCTTTTGTTTGAAAAATATGGTACGGTATTTTATTTTTTTGACACAGTACTATAAATCTACTGAAGTTAATCAATAAATGCATTGATTTCACATAGTTGGAAAAACTGTGTGTATCCATAATTACCACTGATTAATTTAAACTAGCCTCTTTTTCGAAAATATTCTCTTGATTTTATTTGGGTTAAATGAAAACGATTAGATAGTATCATTATAGTATATAGTAACAGCTTTTGTTACATAGGTAATACCATAGATGTAATACGCATTAGCACATTTAACAAAAACACATTTAACATTTTTATCTCTTTAATACAACAAATAAATAAATAAATAATAATAAATAAATAAAAATGTCTTTATTCAGCGTTTCTCTGGTACACCAGCTTTTCAGAACAACTTTCGTCACTATGCTAAACATCTTATTCAACAATCAATTATACATAACAATTTGAATTTTTTTACAAAACAATTCAACATATCAATGTGGTTGTTATACACTTAGACAATAACTACAATTTTTTTAAAAAGATATCTTTAAGTTTTTCTTTAGAACAAAGCTCTTTAGAAGCAAATCCCGAAGACACAACATGAACTTACATATTTTCGTATATTTCCATCTTTATGAAGAATTACATCAAACACTCTTTAGCAGAATTAACAGTATTTGACGGAAGTGTCCAGCTTAACTCTTTTCTGAAATCATCAGATCATATACTGCGAATATCTGTTCGTTCATACTTCATAATGATACAGCCTGGTAATGATCTTATCCTAAACTGTAGGTTCGACTTAGAAGCCACCATATACCTGTAGACGTGCCTCGGTTGAGGGTATTTCCCTATAAAATGGTTTATATAATCTTTCTAACGTTTTCTGTAACTATTGTTAACATTAAATTTAAAAAAAATAGCTTTTAAGATGGTACAAAACTATTCAGGCATATTGCTAAGATTACTCTACCTAATATCGTTAGAAAAAATTATTTTAGTAAAGTTTTGTCGCCACAATTACAGGACTTTAGGTCTTATTATAAAATATGAATTTTACAAGCCTGTTGCTAAGCAATTTCAAACATAAAACCAGATCAGAAGAAAATATTTGTCTAAATGTTAAGCACGTTGTTAAAGAAGAATGGAAAAAAGTAAACGAAAATATACTACGAATGTGTTGGTTCACGGCAGTGGAGAAGGATGCTGCGACGGTGAAGAAGGAGGCTGCGACGGTGAAGAAAGAAGATGCAACGGTGAAGAAGGAGGCTGCGACGGTGAAGAAAGAAGATGCGACGGTGAAGAAGGAGGCTGCGACGGTGAAGAAAGAAGATGTGACGGTGAAGAAGGAGGCTGCGACGGTGAAGAAAGAAGATGCGACGGTGAAGAAGGAGGCTGCGACGGTGAAGAAAGAAGATGCGACGGTGAAGAAGGAGGCTGCGACGGTGAAGTAAGAAGATGCGACGGTGAAGAAGGAGGCTGCGACGGTGAAGTAAGAAGATGCGACGGTGAGAAGGAGGCTGCGACGGTGAAGAAAGAAGATGTGACGGTGAAGAAGTAGGCTGCGACGGGGAAGAAAGAAGATGCGACGGTGAAGAAGGAGGCTGCGACGGGGAAGAAAGAAGATGCGACGGTGAAGAAGTAGGCTGCGACGGGGAAGAAAGAAGATGCGACGGTGAAGAAAGAAGATGCGACGGTGAAGAAAGAAGATGCGACGGTGAAGAAGTAGGCTGCGACGGGGAAGAAAGAAGATGCGACGGTGAAGAAAGAAGATGCGACGGGGAAGAAAGAAGATGTGACGGTGAAGAAAGAAGATGCAACGGTGAAGAAGGAGGCTGCGACGGTAAAGAAAGAAGATGCAACGGTGAAGAAAGAAGATGCAACGGTGAAGAAGGAGGCTGCGGCAACGGTGGAGTAAGATGCTGTGACGGTGAAAGAGGCTACGATGGTGAAGAAGGAGGCTATGGCGGTGAAGAAAGAGGTTGTGACTGTGAAGGAGGCTACGATGGTGAAGTAGGAGGCTATGGCGGTGAAGAAAGAGGTTGTGACTGTAAATGAAGGCTACGATGGTGAAGTAGGAGGAGGCTGTGACTCTGAAGAAGGAGGCTGCGACGATGGTGGACAAGTAAGATTCGACTATGATGTAGAAGGTAGAGGCGACCGTGGTGGAAAAGGAAGATGCGATGAAATAAATATTTTCGAATGTAATTTAGTTTTTTTAGTAAATTTTAGGCGTATGAATAGAAATAGATAAGTAACTGTGTTTGTAATTTTTAGGTGATGAGCATTATTTACAAAAACTACTGTCTAATATATTTTAAGAAACTATCTATACTATTATATTATTCCAAAAAAACACCAAGGTTCTTAGCCTTGTACTCACAGTAATCAACCTGTTTTCAATTAAACCATTACTCAGGCTTAAATGATCCATTATGTCAATTACTCTGGCCTACATCCGAACATTTCCATGTGAGCAAATCTATCAAAAATGAAGAGTGTTTGTTTGGTCTGTTAGGGAAATTGTATTTACTTAACGGAATGACAATGAATAGCTATGGCTATGTTCATGACATGTTTGATATGACCTCAAATTACAACTATATAATAAGCTGATTTATTTAACTAAAAGGTGATATGAAATTCTACACTGGTTAAATTTAATCCAGACATAGTGAACAGGTTAACTTATGTCGGTGTCGCATGAAAGTTTCATCAAAATGGCGTTGTAAAAATTATACACGCAATTAGGTACTCTCCAAGACAACTAGTATATTCAGGTATTTAAGAAATGATGGTTTCAAACCAGTCTTACTCAAATCATCCCTAAATACCAGAAAAAAATAATCACGTGAAAACCCTACCATTTCTAAACAATGCAATCTTTGTGAGAGTTTAAACCTGGTGTAATCCAGATTAGATGGAGAAACTGCAGTATTTGTTGTACATGGGAGAGTGTAGGAGATGAGGCACAATTATGTCCTCAGATCTCACGAGGTGTTGAAAGTACAGAACAACTGGTAGCAAGAGCAACTGTTACACATATTAGTGTTGTCATTGCAGAGTTGACAGTGTGAGAACACTCAGGACGTGACCGATTGTTTTGCCACGCAGGACTTCTTGTGTCGTCCCAGGGTCTCCAGAATCTATGAAAATTGCCAATGTGTCATTTTTGTCCTTGTTGGCTACTAGAAGAATACGTATTGGTATCATACTATAATAATATTATCCCTACTATAAAGAACCTCCAACATGTGACTGCTTGATTTGCCACTCAGGACTTCTTGTGTCGTCTTCAGGGTCTCCAGAATCTGCGAAAATTGCTAATATGTCATTTGTTCTTCTAGGCTACTAGAAGAACATGCCTTGGTTACGTATTTTAAAAGACACCTCTATTATAAAAAAATATCCAGTGTGTGGTTGATTGTTTTGCCACGCAGGTCTTTTTTCGTCTTTAGTATTCCAGGATTGACAGTTTTTTCTGACTTTTTTTTCTTCAGATTCTGAAAAAGTTTCCTACGTGTAAATTGTAAAACGGGTAAAATAATTTTAATGCACTGGTACTGGTAATACTTACCCATGGTCGATTGGGGATGTGGGGTGGTCAGTGTTAGGGCACAGGACTTCTGTGACCAAGGGTCCCGGGTTTAAATCAAGAAAATCACCAACGATTTTAAATAAGTAATATTGCTGAAATCTGTAGGCATATCTTGAATCAAGGTAAGACACATTTCTGGGCTAGGGCCTAGTAGAAAATGTAATAAAATCATACGTTCATTGTTTCGATTTTGAATGCAACAAAGCTAATCTGCGCACCTACTCCAGTTACATCTGAATCATTTTGTATCTCTCTCACTCACCCATCTATTAACTGATGGTGTCATGAGCAGATTATTCAAAGAAGACACTGTAACGATCTTGGTGAAAGTAATCTCTCACTTCATAGCAAAACGACTTTGCACCTTTGCCCTTCAGTCTGTACCACCCACACCTAGACTTGAGACTTGGAAAGTTTATGGTGTGAAAAAAATCAAAAGTCATATTCTGAACTTGCAAAGAGAATGTGTACCCAAGAGAACATTTAAACGTGTACCCAAAATCATAGTGGACCTAGTGGAAGTGAACCAACAACAGATTGTTCTGATGTAAATTACTATTCTTTTTATTTAGTTCACATTGTAAGGACCACTTGTTGTAAGCTATAGCATCTGTTATGAAGCATTGACTATCTCAGTAATCACAAAGAAGACGAAATCGTATTTCGGGTACTAGCACACTCTGTGTCTGTTCTTTCTCTGTGTGTGTGTGTTACCATAGACTAAGCAACACAAGTAAGTATGTTAAGCTAAGCTATGGGAGTATGTTTTATCTATGGTTTTACTAAACTATAATACGTTATAGTTACTGACTTCTTTTTCTTCAGATTCTGAAAAAGTTTCCTACATGTGAATTGTAATAAGTGTAGGTACGCCTCGTCTTGCAGTTCAAATATCGTGTTTGAGGTCCACTACAGTTCAAGTGCTACAAAATAGAATTTAACGTTATTCTTTATTAACAAAGTGGAAAAACCGTTCCATGTAGATGTGATGTCCACTCCACTTTCAAAAGCCAATGATTAAGCACATAATTTATTATAAGCTGTTATGGTTTAACCGTTAAACAGTTTTGGTCATGGTGGAAGGAAAATACATAGGGGTACATAGGGGATGTACATTCCCGTAATTTGCCGACGTCACTCAGATTGCAAACAAAAAAATCAGCTGATTGTATTGCCATATAATATATTTGTTTTGATTTGATTGTTATTGTTTTTACAATTTTTCTAAATGGTTAAATGGTGTTTGCAATCTGAATGACGTCAGCATATGACGGGAATAGCACACCTATGTATTTTCCTTCCCCCATGCTTACTGGTTTTAAATTGCCAGCTGTTATCAAATGTTAATATTTCTAATTAGCATGCTTATTATTTAAACACATGTTTATTAATTCTAATAAGAGAATGTAAACAAAAGTTAGTGAGTTGTGTGTTGTCTTTTGACCAACGAAGATATTAAAATAGTTCAAATAAAATAATGTAAAAGTTTGTTTGAGATTTTGCCGAAACAATCTCGACACCAAAAAGCATCGGTCCACCCATGTAAGTACATACTTTCACTGATTAGGCTACTCATTTTTGCCAGTTTATTCGTAACAGAATTGTTAAACATGACAAACTAAACGACAAATAATCTAAAGCACGTATCTTTATACCCTCACAAACCTTCATTATAGTTAAGACCTTCAGATATAATGGATAGTTGAGAGAATGAGTAATACATATATTTTATAGAATTGTCCCATACCAAACCATTCCTAAAGGATCTTCAAAGGAGTCTTCGGCAATTGGTACGAGGATGAGGTGAGGAAGAGAGAGGTAAATAGAAAGAGAAAGAGGAGAGAGAGAGCCTTGCTCGACGAGAGGTGAGTTAGTCTAAACCATGAAGAGCTGGGCAACGTTACTAACCACTGCCGCGGCTGTGTGCGCAGGTAACTTAGTTAACTAACTACTAGCTCTAACTACTAGCTGTAACTACCTTTAACTAATAGACTAACCTGTTGGGAAGAAACCTTAGAGAGTGTTTGGGTGTTATAGTTATCGGGTGGTAAATGGAGTAGTTTATTTGATGGTGTTCAAAAAGTAATGGTGCTGTTTTTCTGCAGGGAGTTTGGTGGGGAAAACGTGTTGATGTTTCCAAATTTCAAAACGATATAGGTTTTAAAGGTAGCTTAGAAATAGTTGAGACCAATATCTATCTACTTTAGTTGTTTCTGGTGAATTAAACTTTTTACTATGGAGTGACAACATTGAAACGATGATTTTTACTAGCTGACCTGCTATTACTGGGTAGGTTTTGTCATTAATATTTTATACTTAAGTACCGGTAGCCTTTTCTTCTGTTTGGAACTGCTGTCACCAATTTTATATTGAAAAAGTAGGTAGGCCTACTCAATCAAATGAGCTATTTATAGTGTGTGTCAGAGTGCTTTAACTTAAAATTGCATCTGAATTTTTGTAACTGTAATGAGTAGTAATGTGCTCAATGTAACAAATAATGCTATAGGCCTAATCTGCAAGATTTCCTTTCCTTTTCGCTTGATAAACAGTTAGCGTGTTTGATAAAGGCATTTATATTTATTAGCACACTATGTCGGTGGCTCAAATTAGCTATGTTCATTTTCATTTTTAAACTGGCTTAAACTACCATTGACAAGGTTTGTCTATTTTCATCAATATCAACAGTTTAAGTTTGTCAAGAGGAGTATTCTTATTCATTACAATCCAGTAATTTTGTATAATGTTTGTTGTTTTATTTGTGTACTGTTACGTAATTTGAAAATTATATGAGGGGTTGAGAGGCCAAGGGAGATATGTGACTTTTTAAAAAATGTTGTCATGGTAACGGGTTTTGTTAAAAAAGGGTGGAATTTCAACAAATAATTCATTTATATCCCTTGGCCTCCAAACTAAACACCTAAGAGTTGGAAGCCAAGGGGTATAAGTGAATTTATTTTTATTTTTATTTTATTTTTTATGACTCTGAAAAAAATACAATGACATTTTTTAAAAAGTCACTTATCTCCCTTGGCCTCTCAACCCCTCATATGTGGTTAAGAGGCATTTGAGGATAAAATACTTTCAAACATTTCTTAAAAATGACATTTTTATGATGTATAAAATAACAATTTTTAAACCTATTGAACTTTTGAATAATGATAGCTTCTGTTCTACCAATTATTTTTGTCATACTCAGATTGAATGTGTGTATTCATTACTTTAGTGTTCATTCATTTAGTCGACTTTTATCAAATGACAAAATTGTAGGAATATTCATGCAATTTTAATTAATATTATTGTGGTGTTTTATACAATCCAAATATGTGTTTACTCAAGTTGAAAAATCTTCAACAATAGATGAGTCAATTCCATTCAGTCTATCAGGGGGAATACCCTGTCACATGGTAGGTAATTTGGTGTAAATTTAGAAAATGGGAATATCCAGGTCCACCCTCTGGTTCCAGAGAATACAGATTCGATATCCTTGGTATATGTTTTCATGTTATACTACAGTGCTTGCTTAATGCTTGTGGAATATGTATTCATGTTGTAATTTGATTTTTTATGAGAACAAAAAGTAAACAGTTTTCAAGCTGTGAAATTAGCAGTCATACAAAATCTTGTCCACCTACGTTAACTGATGGAAAATTTGTTTACACCACAACTACTACAAAAACAGAAACTTAACAGCGTGTTATCTTATTTATTAATTTAAAACCTAGCATTAGTGAATGGAAACTTGCCAATGAGCAAAGATAATATTGGTTTTACGCATTCAAAAACATATACATTAATAATAACTGACTTGGCGGCCATATTGGCACAATACCGATATCAGTTCAATCTGCATTTGAACAGTTTAAGATTTGTGCAAAGTTATAAACCAGATTACAATTTACAAGAAAAATTCTTTGAAGGTCCCCTGTTTATCTTGATCATGAAAGAAAAATGTTGCCTGTGGTTGAAACTTTGCACTCCACAAGTAATGAATTTATAAAGGTTCACCAACTCAAAAATGTTCCATGGGTTCCCTTATGAATGATTATAACGCTCAATTTGCTGTTAACAGCTGTAAATCGGAAGAAGTCAGTAGTTTCTGCTTAAAAGTTTGAGAAGATAAAGGACTTCCTTAAAACATGCAATTACATATCTTAAAATTAAAATTCACTAAAATTAAAATTAAACTTAATGTTAGTGTATAAACTGATAATCAATCCACCATGTACCTATGTCTATCCGGTGTTAAAATATTTAAATCAGGAATTGTTATCATGTGTCCATATTAATTGATTCAGGATTATGATGCAGAACTATGTTTAGAAATGCTTTATTTCCAGGAATACACAAGTATTTAAACCTGTTCATTTCATGATTGGCGGCAAGACATACTTTGATAATAAATTTACATAATTCTTACAGTTGTCCCCCGCCTTTATCACGGGGTTTTCCCGCCTTATTTACCGGCCGGTGGCGTTTTCCTGGGACCGTAACGTGTTGAAACAACTTTTCCGTATTAGCATAGACCTTGAATTTTAATGGTTGTTGGCTGGATACGATATGTTCGATGTATGATTTTCTCCTTTTTAAGTTAGATTTCATAACTTACTTTGTAATTTATTGTTTTTTCTTAAGAGGGAACTTTGAAGAAAAGAAGTGTGCAGTGATAAATTTTACTTTTTGAATTTAATTTTGAAAAATTTAGAAAAGTACTAAAACAGAAGACCTGCTTAAAAAATTGAAGTTTTATGAGATGATTTGGTGAATTAACTATCACAAATGCAAACCTAGATGAACTTAGCACTTTAAAGTCCTCGTTGAGTGTTTGGTCTTTTATCCTTTGATGGAAACGAAGGACAACATAAGCAGGAAAGATATTAACGTGGGGATAGAGTGGGATTTAGATGTTTCTGATATGGGCCCATGAGAACTTTACAATATAGACCCTAAAAATATTGGTTCAATTCTTGTTCTTTCAGTAATAAAGTAAATACAGGCTTCACTTATATTTTTGATAAAAGGTTAATGCCAGAAATATAAAAACTAGGGACTAAATCTATTCGTATATCTAACATAATTCATCCAAGAACAGGTAGTCTAGTGAATAATTAATTGCACTAGAACTATGGTTTTTGATCTTGAAGTCTCAGATTCAAATTGCAGAAGAATTAATTTTTTGCTATGTAATATTACCTGTTTTTATTGCTATGTAATATTTGCTATGTTAGATTCGTTTTCTTTAATAACAAATTCTTAAGTTCCTCACAAAGAACTATGAACTAGATTCCTAATGAGTAGGTTTTCACCTTGACCAGTTCTCTGACTCATTTGTAGGAGTTACACGTTCATTGAACAACTACCTTCATCAATAACCCTTGTCACAGTTACGCCTTAGCCCTGGAACAGTTTAAAGTATTTTATTATTTACAAATGAAATAAATGAATAGCTTACTCATTTCTTGCGCAATACAAGTATTCAATTAGAAGTGAGTAAAATTATTTCTTGCATCCTTAGTTATTTCTTGGACTTTTGTTTAGCTTTCCCTTATAAGTTTTTATTTCAATAGGAAACTTTTAAGGGAAAGCAAGTTCTGGAGTAATCATGTATGGAAACAAAATATTTCATAAATCCTGCGCCATCATCATCCTCTGAGTTTATTTGTAATCTTTAGTAGGATTTACTTTAAAGGAGGATTAAAGTTTTGAAAACAGAGTAATTTTGTAAGTATTTTGTTTGTTTTAAGTTGTAAGAAAACACACTCCTCAACATCTAAAACAACTCAATTCGGAAGTCTCGTGTAGTTTATAGCTAACTGCTTACTCAAAAGTGTAAAGATAAAGATAAAACTACCTGTTGTTCTGTCAAATGAAATTTTGTTGGTTGGTTTCAATAAGGTCCATTTTTAAATAGGAGCCTGAATTATTGTAATATATCCTAACACGACTCTGTACAACCCTATTGGTGAGGAGAATTCACTTAAAGATGGTGTAAATTAGTGACGTGACCAGAGCATAATCTTAAAAACACTTAACATTTTTTTAGAAAAGTTTAGTTTTAAAATCTTATTTTGTAAAATCTCATCTCATCTTCACTAGTGTTCCATCCTCATTGGCCTATCTTCGTATTGTAACTTCATAGGTATAAATTATATATGCTAAAAATTATCTAAATATAATTCAAATTCAACTTCTATCCGTAACTGTGAAACACAATAATTTTTTTTACTAACTGTACAAAAAGACTTATCTTTATCATTCTTATCTAGGAATAAGCTCGCTGATACTCATGATAAGTCCGAAGATTCTTTGATTAATAAATTAGGTATGCTCTTACATACTATTGATAGCTTTTTGTCATTACTCAAATAAATTCAATACAAAACTAAATGTAATTCTTTAACACCCATAACTTCATAATTTTCCCTTACATTCATCCAAGGTCAAGTCTATTTTTCAAAACAAAGAGGTTCTCGTGCGTTTCCATTCACCTTAGACTTTGTACGTTATGATTAACGTTCCACTTTCTCCATTGCACTCCTTTCTCCTGTCCGTCAAAGACCGTTCTCCACGATCGTAGGATGCAAACAGCTGTTTATGTTTGATGCAAACAGCTGTTATGTGTTGATACGAACAGCTGTTTACTGTGGAATAACCCAGGCCACGCCCAACTTCCCCCTCATTGTTGACCAATTGTTGCGACATGAAACGTGTATGTAAACACTGTTTTGACCTCCGACCTCGGTGTTTCACAAAGTTGGATTGCGTTCCTATGAAGTTAACTGCAAAAAAATCAGGTTATGAATAAAAGCTAAGCCTTTCTATATGGTTTAATTCATTGTTTATGTCTGTAATTATAAATATCATAGATTAAACCTGATTTTGGTAAAATATTTATCAGATGGTGATATGTTAACTACAAAAAGCAATTGTTATG